TAACCAGTATGTTTTCCGCAAACAAGGTAAATTTGAAGTCAATCTGAAGCTCGGAAATAATATTATGAGCTTTTTTCCAACTTGATACCAGAAAAAGTTGGAAAATTCATATTAAATCACCTTTGAAAAATCCTGAAAAATACTTCGAAGTATCAGATCGGTTTCAAACTTTCAAGATTTATTAACCAGTATGTTTTCAGCAAGCAAGGTAAATTTGAAGTCAATCTGAAGCTCGGAAATAAAATTATGAGCTTTTTTCCAAGTTGATACCAGAAAAAGTTGGAAAATTCATGTTAAATCACCTTTGAAAAATCCTGAAAAATGCTTCGGAGTATCAGATCGAGTTCAAACTTTCAGGATTTATTAACTAGTATGTTTTCATCAAACTAGGTAAATTTGAAGTCAATCTGAAGCTCGGAAATAAAATTATGAGGTTTTTTCCAACTTAATACTAGAAAAAGTTGGAAAATTCACGTTAAATCACCTTTCAAAAATCCTGAAAAATGCTTCGGTGTATCAGATCGATTTTAAACTTTCAGGATTTATTAACCAGTATATTTTCATCAAACAAAGTGAATTTGTAGTCAATCTGAAGCTCGGAAATAAAATTATGAAGTTTTTTTCCAACTTAATACCAGAAAAAGTTGGAAAATTCACGTTAAATCACCTTTGAAAAATCCTGAAAAATACTTCGGAGTATCAGATCGATTTAAAACTTTCAGGATTTTTTAATCAGTATGTTTTCATTAAACAAGGTAAATTTGAAGTCAATCTGAAACTAGGAAATAAAATTATGAGGTTTTTTCCAACTTAATACTAGAAAAAGTTGAAAAATTCACGTTTGAAAAATCCTGAAAAATACTTCGGAATATCAGATCGATTTCAAACTTTCAGGATTTATTAACCAGTATGTTTTCCGCAAACGAGGTAAATTTGAAATCAATCTGAAGCTCGGAAATAAAATTATGAGCTTTTTTCCAACTTGATACCAGAAAAAGTTGGAAAATTCATATTAAATCACCTTTGAAAAATCCTGAAAAATACTTCGAAGTATCAGATCGGTTTCAAACTTTCAAGATTTATTAACCAGTATGTTTTCAGCAAACTAGGTAAATTTGAAGTCAATCTGAAGCTCGGAAATAAAATTATGAAGTTTTTTCCAACTTAATACTAGAAACAGTTGTAAAATTCACGTTAAATCACCTTTCAAAAATCCTGAAAAATGCTTCGGAGTATCAGGTCGACTTCAAACTTTCAGGATTTATTAATCAATATGTTTTCATCAAACAAGGCAAATTTGAAGTTAATCTGAAGCTCACAAATGAAATTATGGAGTTTTTTCCAACTTAATACCAGAAAAAGTTGGAAAATTCACGTTTGAAAAATCCTGAAAAATACTTCGGAGTATCAGATCGACTTCAAACTTTCAGGATATATTAACCAGTATGTTTTCATCAAACAAGGTGAATTTGAAGTCAATCTGAAGCTCGGAAATGAAATTATGAGCTTTTTTCCAACTTGATACCAGAAAAAGTTGGAAAATTCATATTAAATCACCTTTGAAAAATCCTGAAAAATACTTCAAAGTATAAGATCAACTTCAAACTTTCAGGATTTATTAACTAGCATGTTTTCATCAAACAAGGTAAATTTGAAGTCAATCTGAAGTTTGGAAATAAAATTATGAGTTTTTTTCCAACTTGATACCAGAAAAAGTTGGAAAATTCACGTTAAATCACCTTTGAAAAATCCTGAAAAATACTTCGGAGTATCAGATGGATTTCAAACTTTCAGGATTTATTAACCAGTATGTTTTCATCAGACAAGGTAAATTTGAAGTCAATCTGAAGCTCACAAAAAAAATTATGGAGTTTTTTCCAACTTAATACCAGAAAAAGTTGGAAAATTCATGTTAAATCACCTTTGAAAAATCCTGAAAAATATTTCGGAGTATCAGGTCGACTTCAAACTTTCAGGATTTATTAATCAGTATGTTTTTATCAAACAAGGCAAATTTGAGGTTAATCCGAAGCTCACAAATAAAATTATGGAGTTTTTTCCAATTTAATACCAGAAGAAGTTGGAAAATTCACGTTAAATCGCATTTGAAAAATTCTGAAAAATACTTCTGAGTATCAGATCGATTTCAAATTTTCAAGATTTGATAATCAGTATGTTTTCATCAAACAAGGCAAATTTGAAGTCAATCTGAAGCTCAGAAATAAAATTATGAGGTTTTTTCCAACTCAATTCTAGAAAAAGTTGGAAAATTCATGTTAAATCACCTTTGAAAAATCCTGAAAAATACTTCGGAGTATCAGGTCGACTTCAAACTTTCAGGATTTATTAATCAGTATGTTTTCATCAAACAAGGCAAATTTGAAGTTAATCTGAAGCTCACAAATAAAATTATGGAGTTTTTTCCAACTTAATACCAGAAAAAGTTGGAAAATTCACGTTTGAAAAATCCTGAAAAATACTTCGGAGTATCAGATCGACTTCAAACTTTCAGGATATATTAACCAGTATGTTTTCATCAAACAAGGTAAATTTGAAGTCAATCTGAAGCTCTGAAATGAAATTATGAGTTTTTTTCCAACTTGATACCAGGAAAAGTTGGAAAATTCACGTTAAATCACCTTTGAAAAATCCTAAAAAATACTTCGGAGTATCAGATCGACTTCAAACTTTCAGGATTTATTAACCAGTATGTTTTCATCAAACAAGGTAAATTTGAAGTCAATCTGAAGCTCACAAAAAAAATTATGGAGTTTTTTCCAACCTAATACCAGAAAAAGTTGGAAAATTCAGGTTAAATCGCATTTGAAAAATTCTGAAAAATACTTCGGAGTATCAGATCGATTTGAATCTTCCAGGATTTATTAACCATAATGTTTTCATTAACCAAGGCAAATTTGAAATCAATTTGAAATTCAGAAATAAAATTATGAGTTGTTTTCCAACTTAATACTAGAAAAAGTTGGAAAATTCATGTTAAATCACCTTTGAAAAATCCTGAAAAATACTTCGGAGTATCAGATCAATTTCAAACTTTCAAGATTTATTAACCAGTATGTTTTCATCAAACAAGGCAAATTTGAAGTCAATCTGAAACTCAGAAATAAAATTATGAGGTTTTTTTCAACTTAATACCAGAAAAAGTTGGAAAATTCATATTAAATCACCTTTGAAAAATCCTGAAAAATACTTCTGAGTATCAGATCAATTTCAAATTTTCAAGATTTGATAATCAGTATGTTTTCATCAAACAAGGCAAATTTGAAGTTAATCTGAAGCTCAGAAATAAAATTATGAGGTTTTTTCCAACTTAATACTAGAAAAAGTTGGAAAATTCATGTTAAATCACCTTTGAAAAATCATGAAAAATACTTCGGAGTATCAGGTCGACTTCAAACTTTCAGGATCTATTAATCAGTATGTTTTCATCAAACAAGGCAAATTTGAAGTTAATCTGAAGCTCACAAATAAAATTATGGAGTTTTTTCCAACTTAATACCAGAAAAAGTTGGAAAATTCACGTTTGAAAAATCCTGAAAAATACTTCGGAGTATTAGATCGACTTCAAACTTTCAGGATATATTAACCAGTATGTTTTCATCAAACAAGGTAAATTTGCAGTCAATCTGAAGCTCGGAAATAAAATTATGAGTTTTTTTCCAACTTGATACCAGAAAAAGTTGGAAAATTCATATTAAATCACCTTTGAAAAATCCTGAAAAATACTTCGGAGTATCAGATCAATTTCAAACTTTCAGGATTTATTAACCAGTATGTTTTCATTAAACAAGGAAAATTTGAAGTCAATCTGAAGCTCAGAAATAAAATTATGAGTTTTTTTCCAACTTAATGCCACAAAAACTTGGAAAATTCATATTAAATCACATTTGAAAAATCCTGAAAAATACTTCGGAGTATCAGATCGACTTGAAACTTTCAGGATTCATCAACCAGGATGTTTTCATCAACCACGGCAAATTTGAAGTCAATTTGAAATTCAGAAATAAAATTATGAGTTTTTTTCCAACTTTATACCAGAAAAAGTTGGGAAATTCATATTAAATCACCTTTGAAAAATCCTGAAAAATACTTCGGAGTATCAGATCGATTTCAAATTTCCAGGATTTATTACCCAGGAAATTTTCATTAAACAAGGCAAATTTAAAGTCAATCTGAAGCTCAGAAATAAATTTATGAACCTTTCTCCAACTTAAAACGTTAAATCATCTTTGAAGAATCCTGAAGACACAATTAGTGATACATAATATGATTTTTCATTCTTTTCTCCTTCACACCTAGAGATATTGGTTTTGCTATTTTATGCAGTACAAAGTAGCGTAGGTCCAAACGTGCAATAGCAATATTCATGATGTAATTGTTGAGGACCACCCCATCTAATAAAATATTTCTGTATTTGATAGCAGGCCAAAAATTATAACAAACTGGCCTCGAAATTTGTGAATATTTTCAAGTTTTGCATTTGGCGCTTTAATAATTAAAGTGTTCATGTTGTGCTTTATTCACGTGCCAATGATAAATATTTTATTTCGGCCGCAGCCAGGGAGCGAGGGCATTATTATGAAAATAAATTAATTTCAAAGTATGTAAATACTTTTTGCACCATTTCCTAGTATGAATTAATTAAACGTGTACCATACCATTATGTATTATGAAATTCTATCAGAATTATATATTATTTTCTTGGCAAATTGACGAGCGGTTTCAAGTTTCCGCAAACATTCAATGGAGAGATATTTCGCGAATCAACACTCGTAGTAGAAATGGAAACGCAGAGGTTTGCATGTTAATTTCACGCGCTGTTAAGTTGAATTGTATTAGGGGCGAAAGCGATTACCATGAACCAATAATAATCTGTACTAGTATTGATGATGAAGACTACCATAATAGGAAGACAAATAAAGTAATGGATACAAGAACAAAGAGGCTTCATGATGATGATGATAAGGACAAAATCAACTTACCATAAATAAATAAACTGACAAATGCCACAGCAACACAAACCACCTGCATAATGATGGCACAATCAAATAGGCAACATGATCCAAATCACAATATACTTGCTTCCGATGCCACGTGCAGATCCGGCTGGAAATCCGAGCAGCACGCGAGTCCTTTCAGCAACGGAATCACGCAAACTGATACTAGGAAAGCTCGGATTCGGACGCGGCGTCGCGACGTCGACGCCTATTGGTAGCGTGAAAAGCCCTGGCCCAATCTGGACGACGGAAAGCGCGCAACTTTTGCCAGATCTTTGTTGACGAATTTGCGGATTTTTTTTTGTTGTTTTTTTGTTATCGATTTTGGGGTCAAAGTAAATACGTCATTTGATAACTTATAAGCTATCATTCAAAGTCAAAGGTTATATTTCAAAGGCAAATCAATGATAAATCAGTAAATAAATTGTTTCACTTACATAATACTCAAGGTTTGAGAGAAATTCCATTTTCCCAATTTACTTTTCCTGGTCACCAATGTACTGCTTATAGATTTTATAAGGAAACTGTTTCTCGTAATTATTTATTCGATACCTACCGTATAATCGACTAATCACCTTTTCTGATGCTTGGTGTTGTTTATACAAAGTAATATAAATATTTACCTTTTTAATTCTAATACACTTAAGGGCCCCACACACTACGATGAAATACGTCGTTCCAAAATCGAAGTGTGTGGTAGAAAACCGTCGTGTTTTTCTACCACACACTCCGGTTTTGGAACGACATGTTTCATTGCGGCGATTAAAACCGTCGAGTTTCATCGTAGTGTGTGGGGCCCTTAATAAATTTGTTTTGCACAAGTTTGATATAAAGATGGTGAGCTATATTCACAAAATTTGGCCACTATTATGTAACTACCTACAATTTTTTAAGGCCGTCCCCATTTCCACATATTATTCTTTATTTTATACACACACAGGCATCCTATGGAGCAAAACCTAAGAACTGCGTGTCATCGGCATAGGGATTGATGGAGCAAAACCGAACCTGCTTTGGAAGATCGTTTGTGTAAATGCTAAATAATAATGGCCCAAGGGGGACTCCATAACTAATTGTAACAGGCTCAGATCTTGCTCCATCAAGCTCAACAACCTGTGTCATTAGTGAAAGCTAGTTTTTAAATGATTGGGTAATTTGCATTGAAGTTTAAATATTTGTTTGTGTGTGTTGGTTTTCTGTATATTGTAGTTTTAAATTTGTCTATGTCTTTTGTGATAAGTATGTCTAAAAAAGGTAGTTGGTGATTTAGTTCTTTTTCTATTGTAAATTGTATAGTTGGTTCTCATGTATTGATGTGTTGAAGAAAGTTATTAAGGTCCTTTCAATGTAAGTGTAAATTGAAAATATGTCGTCTATCTAACGCCACCAAATAATGGGTTTTAAGTTATAATTTTCAATATTATTGATTTCGAAATCTTACATAAAAATATTACTTAAGATAGAGAATTGAATCTTATTCTATCTTAAAGATAATTTAATTCTGATTCAGAATATATAATTATACATCATCAAATGTGCAGTTATAACCGAATTGTCAAATTATTGAAATTTTCTGAGCTTAAACATTGTAAAAATCGTTTTTATTTTTTTACTAGCTCTAAAACCTTAAAAACAAAGTTGCGTAAATGCTTTTCCACTAATTTTCACCTCTTCTTTCGATTGGTAAAGTCAAAAATTGCAAAATCCAAAAATTTCAAAATTCAAATTTTTGCATGGAAATTTGATTTTCAAATATTTCAAAGGGCCATATTTTGGAAACCAGTAGAGCTATCGGCATGAATATTTTGCTCAATTGTAGCTCTTTAGAAGGGCTATAAAAAAGGTTATTTAAGACTCCGAAATCAAGGGCTTCGTTTTCGAGAAAATTAGCTTTGAATATTTTGTGAAAATTGAGACAAAGTTTTGACTTTGAGTCTCAATATCTTCAAAAGTATTTGAGATAAAGAATTGAATCTTATTTTATCTTGAAGATAATTTAATTCTCATTCGAAATATATAATTAGACATCATAAAATGTACAGTTATAACCGAATAATGAGTAGTTTAGTAAGACAATGTCAAATTATTGAAATTTTCTGAGCTTAAAAATTGCAAAAATCGTTTTTATTTTTTTACTAGCTCTAAAACCTAAAAAACAAAGTTGCGTAAATGGTTTTCCACTAAATTTCACCTCTTCTTTCGATTGGTAAAGTCAAAAATTGCAAAATCCAAAAATTTGAAAATTCAAATTTTTCCAAAGGGGTATGTATGCATGGGAAATTGATTTTCAAATATTTCAAAGGGTCATATTTTGGAAACCAGTGAAGCAATCGGCATAAATCTTTTGCTCAATTGTAGCTCTTTAGAAGGGCTATAAAAAAGGTTATTTGAGACTCCGAAATCAAGGGCTTCGTTTTCTAGAAAATCAGCTTTGAATATTTCGTGAAATTTAAGACAAAGATTTGACTTTGAGTCTCAATATCTTCTAAAGTATTTGAGATAAAGAATTGAATCTTATTCTATCTTAAAGATAATTTATTTCTGATTCAGAATATATAATTTTACATCATATTTGTTGGAATAATAACCGAGTAATGAGAGATTCTGTGAGACAATGTCAGAATTTTGAAATTTTCTGAGCTCAAAAATTGAAAAAATCGTTTTTATTTTTTTACAAGCTCTTAAACCCAAAAAACAAAGTTGCGTAAATGCTTTTCCACTAATTTTCACCTTCTCTTTCGATTGGTAAAGTCAAAAATTGCAAAATCCAAAAATTTAAAAATTCAAATTTTTCCAAAGGGGTATGCATGGGAAATTGATTTTCAAATATTTCAAAGGGTCATATTTTGGAAACCAGTGAAGCAATCGGCATAAATCTTTTGCTCAATTGTAGCTCTTTAGAAGGGCTATAAAAAAGGTTATTTAAGACTCCGAAATCAAGGGCTTCGTTTTCGAGAAAATTAGCTTTGAATATTTTGTGAAAATTGAGACAAAGTTTTGACTTTGAGTCTCAATATCTTCTAAAGTATTTGAGATAAAGAATTGAATCTTATTTTATCTTAAAGATAATTTAATTCTGATTCAAAATATATAATTATACATCATATTTGTTGGAATAATAACCGAGTAATGAGAGATTTTGTGAGACAATGTCAGAATTTTGAAATTTTCTGAGCTCAAAAATTGAAAAAATCGTTTTTATTTTTTTACTAGCTCTAAAACCCAAAAAACAAAGTTGCGTAAATGCTTTTCCACTAATTTTCACCTTCTCTTTCGATTGGTAAAGTCAAAAATTGCAAAATCCAAAAATTTAAAAATTCAAATTTTTCCAAAGGGCATGGGAAATTGATTTTCAAATATTTCAAAAGGTCATATTTTGGAAACCAGCGAAGCTATCGGCATAAATCTTTTGCTCAATTGTAGCTCTTCAGAAGGGCTATAAAAAAGGTTATTTGAGACTCCGAAATCAAGGGCTTCGTTTTCGAGAAAATTAGCTTTGAATATTTTGTGAAAATTGAGACAAAGTTTTGACTTTGAGTCTCAATATCTTCTAAAGTATTTGAGATAAAGAATTGAATCTTATTTTATCTTAAAGATAATTTAATTCTGATTCAAAATATATAATTATACATCATATTTGTTGGAATAATAACCGAGTAATGAGAGATTTTGTGAGACAATGTCAGAATTTTGAAATTTTCTGAGTTCAAAAATTAAAAAAATCGTTTTTATTGTTTTACTAGCTCTAAAACCCAAAAAACAAAGTTGCGTAAATGCTTTTCCACTAATTTTCACCTTCTCTTTCGATTGGTAAAGTCAAAAATTGCAAAATCCAAAAATTTAAAAATTCAAATTTTTCCAAAGGGCATGGGAAATTGATTTTCAAATATTTCAAAAGGTCATATTTTGGAAACCAGTGAAGCTATCGGCATAAATCTTTTGCTCAATTGTAGCTCTTCAGAAGGGCTATAAAAAAGGTTATTTGAGACTCCGAAATCAAGGGCTTCGTTTTCGAGAAAATTAGCTTTGAATATTTTGTGAAAATTGAGACAAAGTTTTGACTTTGAGTTTCAATATCTTCTAAAGTATTTGAGATAAAGAATTGAATCTTATTTTATCTTAAAGATAATTTAATTCTGATTCAAAATATATAATTATACATCATATTTGTTGGAATAATAACCGAGTAATGAGAGATTTTGTGAGACAATGTCAGAATTTTGAAATTTTCTGAGCTCAAAAATTGAAAAAATCGTTTTTATTTTTTTACTAGCTCTAAAACCCAAAAAACAAAGTTGCGTAAATGCTTTTCCACTAATTTTCACCTTCTCTTTCGATTGGTAAAGTCAAAAATTGCAAAATCCAAAAATTTAAAAATTCAAATTTTTCCAAAGGGGTATGCATGGGAAATTGATTTTCAAATATTTCAAAGGGTCATATTTTGGAAACCAGTGAAGCTATCGGCATAAATCTTTTGCTCAATTGTAGCTCTTTAGAAGGGCTATAAAAAAGGTTATTTAAGACTCCGAAATCAAGGGCTTCGTTTTCGAGAAAATTAGCTTTGAATATTTTGTGAAAATTGAGACAAAGTTTTGACTTTGAGTTTCAATATCTTCTAAAGTATTTGAGATAAAGAATTGAATCTTATTTTATCTTAAAGATAATTTAATTCTGATTCAAAATATATAATTATACATCATATTTGTTGGAATAATAACCGAGTAATGAGAGATTTTGTGAGACAATGTCAGAATTTTGAAATTTTCTGAGCTCAAAAATTGAAAAAATCGTTTTTATTTTTTTACTAGCTCTAAAACCCAAAAAACAAAGTTGCGTAAATGCTTTTCCACTAATTTTCACCTTCTCTTTCGATTGGTAAAGTCAAAAATTGCAAAATCCAAAAATTTAAAAATTCAAATTTTTCCAAAGGGGTATGCATGGGAAATTGATTTTCAAATATTTCAAAGGGTCATATTTTGGAAACCAGTGAAGCTATCGGCATAAATCTTTTGCTCAATTGTAGCTCTTTAGAAGGGCTATAAAAAAGGTTATTTAAGACTCCGAAATCAAGGGCTTCGTTTTCGAGAAAATTAGCTTTGAATATTTTGTGAAAATTGAGACAAAGTTTTGACTTTGAGTCTCAATATCTTCTAAAGTATTTGAGATAAAGAATTGAATCTTATTTTATCTTAAAGATAATTTAATTCTGATTCAAAATATATAATTATACATCATATTTGTTGGAATAATAACCGAGTAATGAGAGATTTTGTGAGACAATGTCAGAATTTTGAAATTTTCTG